CTGTCGTATGACCAGAAAAAATTTGAAGCTGGATACGCTATTTGTAAATTCATTACTGGTACTGGTAAAAGTTGTTTAAGGGCCCAGTAGTCTTCTGGAGGAGAATAAAGGAACTTCAGATGGACAAGAAGAGAAAGCAGCCACCAACCCAGAGCTCCTCTCCCAGAGTTCAATGCAAACAGTGATGCTGATACACCAGCAGTTGTGCCTCAACTTTGCTCGATCCCTCTGGTACCAGCAGACTCTGCCACCACATGAAGCAAAGCATTACCTCAGCCTGTTTTTGTCTTGCTATCAGACCGGGGCATCTCTTGTGACACACTTCTACCCCTTCATGGGTATGGTAGTTTACTTTTGTTATGCCTTTGGGAAATCAAAGCGAATAAATGCAGTCACAACTTCTAGAATAATTGAAATCATAAATTTCCCTGATCAATTCCCTGTTTTCCCTTAATTCCTTATTGATGGAGTTTCCTTAACTTAAAGAACTTGGAGCTAATGCAAAAAAAATTGATTGATTAATAGAACTCTGCAGTAAGATGGATTTTCATTGTTTGAATCCTTTGGGGTGAGAGATTAAAAAAATAAGGATATAAACTTAATTTAAATGGGTTTTTTTCCTCAGCATTATTTCTACTTTCCCTCTAATAGCCTCAGTGCTTTTCAAATAAAATAATATAATCGTGGAAGCAACCTGGGAATTCAGAAATGAATCTCATAGTATATGGTTTGATAGCAGTTGGTTTGATGTAGTTTCCTACATGACTTCATGAATTATTCCATACCATTAGGAAGGAGGCTTTAAATTTCCTTTCTACTTAGCCATAACTACTACAAAAACTAGGAATTTGAATGCATCAAATTAAACTCTGCACCTTCTTGTTTATACCTAGGGTAGTATCTGACTTCCTCTGTATATCCCAGAAACTTGAGAATGGTGGTATTAGGATCACAGTTCTCTAGGCCAGTGTGGCCTTGGGGGACAATGGCAATGAAACATATGCTTCATTATTCCCAGTTAGTTCATTGTTTTGACATCTTTCTAATATGTTGATAGATAACTTACTGAGTTCACTGACTTTACCACGATCTTGTTAACTTCGCAGGAGTTGAGCTGAATGATCAACTCCTGGGCAGCCAGCTTTTGTCTTGTACCCTCTCCCATAACACTCTCTTTGGGGAGGCTACCTCAGACCTGATGGTGAAGCCTGATGGGCCCTATGACTTCTACCAGCACCCCAATGTTCCAGAAGCACAACAGTGTCAGCCCGTCCTTCAGGGTTTCTCAGAGGCTGTCAGTGAGTTGCTGCAGGATTGGCCAGACCACCCAGCACTTAAGCAGGTAAGGTAGCTGGTGAGGATGGGATGGGCTGCATAAGTTACTTAATCTGCACTGAGGCTGTGCCTCATGTCATCCCTGGAGGCATTCATTTGCACAGTTATACATATAAACATAGGGTTAAAGAACCCCAATGCAGTGAGATGCTATTTGCTAACTGCAGCATGAACACACCAGTTTCGTATTGTCGTCGTATAAAGAATGGGGATTCTGTTAATTGTATTTGTTGTTCAGGGGTTACTGTCTACATATGAAAATGTTGCTGTGTTTATTCATACACATACTACCAAGGGCTTCATGGTTTTCTTAACTGTGCTAGAAATAGGGTTTGCTTTTTCAAGATTGGCAATTTTAACTCACGTATTGCTCTGCTCTGTGGTCTTCAGCCAGTTTTATAACTTGCACTACAGAGAGTAATAAGAGTAATTGTCTTAATCAGCTTCAGTCATATTTCCAGAGTAGTGTGGCAGATAAAGGGCTTGTCTCGGTCAGGATCCATAACCCTGGACGTTTGCATCCACAGTTGTCAGCCGTGCTTTCGAAATGGAAAATTTGGGTGAAACTCCTGGTCAGGCCTCTCCTTAGTACCCTGTGACTTTGGGTCACCCGTATTCTTACTGCGATACCCATATCTTTTTTATTTTTTTTGTTTTTTGTAGCTACTGGTCGTAATGGACAGAATTCGTAGCTTCCCACTTTCCAGTCCCATCTCAAAGTTCCTGAATGGCTTAGAGATCCTTCTGGCAAAAGCACAGGTAAGAAAATTCTCTCTTCCTTGTTTTAGTTTTTAGCCAATTGACAAAAGATTTATCTTGTGGTGGTTATTAGAGGGACAGAAAGTCATAGGTTGGGTTGGAGAAAGATAAACATCCTTGGTTTTTCTGGCATGCGTGAGATCAGTGCAAGTGAGGCCCTGGCTCCGGTGGTTGGGCGAGTTGCCTTATCTCCTTTTCAGGGTGGAGTGCAGTGTCCACCAATAATGAGGGCTCACTCTTCAGGACTTCCAGGCGGGCCTTCCGTCCAGCTCCGTGCTTGTACACGTCATCCCCCTTGATCCCTTCACGGCTTCTGAAGTAGCTAGTGCCTCCCCATAGGACAGGAGGAGCCACATGACTTTGATCAAGGTCACATAGCTAACAGCAGGAATTCGGACTCCAGCCTATAAACCTTGTGCTTTTTGCCTGCTTCTAAACTTGGCTGTGCTGGAGTTCTGTCGTATGACCAGAAAAAATTTGAAGCTGGATACGCTATTTGTAAATTCATTACTGGTATTGGTAAAAGTTGTTTAAGGGCCCAGTAGTCTTCACTCAAGAAAAGTCTAAGATACTTTTGAGGGAGGAGGTGATTAAGGGATCGAATAACGGCCAGAATAAATTTTATCTTTATTTCTTTAGGATTGGGAGGAGAATGCAAGCCGAACTTTGTCTCTGCGGAAACATCTCGATTTGGTCAGTCAGTTGATCATTCGGTGGCGAAAACTGGAGCTGAAGTAAGTGACTCTCCTTCCCTCTCCTGAACTTAGGTTGTAAGGACTTTGGTCTTTTGTTTGAGTTATGTCAGGGTTTATGTAGTATGGTAGTTAGAGAATGTGCTTTTTAGTCATTAATCACAGAGTTAAAAGCAAGGCATTAAAATGACCTTAGTACAGGTCAGACAACACCATACATTCTTGAGGCAGCACGCTGGGTGGCTTCACCATCTCCATTTAGGATGACAGAATGTGGAACATACAGCTTCTATTTCTGTGATTTCACATATTTCAAGTATATAATTTACGTATTTCAGACATATTAAATGCCTCCTTGGCTTCTTCTCTCATGTTTCAGCTGCTGGTCCATGAGTTTGGATAATACCATGAAGCGCCACACTGAGAAATCCACCAAGTACTGGTTCTCCATCTATCAGATGCTTGAGAAGCACATGCAGGAACAAACAGAGGAGCAGGAAGGTAACGCCTGCCAGTACACTGTCTGCCCATCGAGAGGCTCCCAGCTCAGGGGAGTGCTGCAAAGTGGAGGATCTGCCTCCCCCCACCCCGCCCACTTCTTTTACACAGGACACATCATTTACCTTCACGGTATTTCTGAGAGGTCAGCCAAGAAAACTGTGGAGTGCTTTTCTTACTGAGAGAATAATATTAATGACAAAAGTCAGAAAGGTTTAAGCGACTTGTCCAAAGTCCAGAGAACCAGTCATATGATAAGGTTTTCTTAGTCTCTGTGTCCATGAAACAAGTCAAAATAAAAGTTGCCTTTTTGGTGGGTATTAACATGCTTGAGTGTTTCATACTTATGACAAGCACCTTACAATTCAGTTTCATAATTTGCTGTGAGCGCATTTAACACATACTCTTGTGTGTAGCTGTTACTTTTAAGTCAGCTTAGAATTTAGCTGTGGTCCTTGCTTGAAAACTCTGCTTTAATTTTGGTCTCTACCTGTTGGCCATCCCTCAGGGTATCCCATAGTAGATTGCATTTACATTAGGAATGGGGAGTGATGGTTGAAGGCACACATGTATTTTCTTCTTTGAATCTCTAAAGATGACGAACAGATGTCCTTGATGCTGGTGATCAATACGTTACAAGCATTTATTGAAGGATCCTCGCTGGGAGAATTCCATGTGCGACTTAAAATGTTACTGGTTTTCCACTGTCATGTCTTGCTGATGCCACAAGTTGAAGGAAAGGGTGAGGAATTTTTTCCTTTACTTTCACATTACACTGTTAAATGGGTTAGGCTTTGAATTCTCCACATGAGACAGGTTATCTTGTTGCACACCAGGTTTTAAACAAGATACTTTTAGTCATCTTTAACTTTAATGTTTAAGTCACATTAGCTGCAGAGAAGAACATTTCAAAGTAAAGTGCAGACTGCTTATAAATGAAGCATTGACTAGTGAACTCTAGGAGAAGTAAATTGCCAGATGAAGATGTCGAGGACTGGTGTGTTGAGGCGGCACCTCTCTCTATGTAGACACTGTAAATGTCCCGCTAAGCTGCTGCTTGATCCAGGCCATTATTAGCTGCTTTGATCTAGTGAGAGCACTACCGTATATCAAGGAACTGCACATACAACTGCCTGCTCCCAATTACTACCCCTGGCCACGGCAGTTGGGATAAAAATGTCACTGCAGAATGAGTATAGATTGTACCTGATTGAGCATTTGAGGTGAACTGCTTAATTTGCCATCTTTGAGAACAAGCTCAGTTTCTGCTAATTTTACCATAAGATTCAGAGAAAGAGTTTGAAAGTGTGATTTTAGCAGGACCTCTGAGTATATCATCTTTAAGGACAAAAGCGCAAAGAAAGCATCTCTTACAAGCAGAAATGACAAAAAGGGGAGTGTTGACAGCCTACGTCTCTAGGAACTGCTACATTCAGCTAAGCTCCCTACATTACCGACCTGTGGACCCCCTGTAGTCTCACGGCATAGAGTAAGGAGAAGGACCATCAGGGAAATGTGAAGCCCACAGGTGGCACCAGTAGCACATGCAGCAAGTGTGGTGTTTTTGTTTCCTTTTCATTTCTTCCAGATTCACTTTGCAGTGTTCTATGGAATTTGTACCATTATTACAAGCAGTTCTTTGACCGGGTCCAGGCCAAAATTGTGGAACTTCGTTCCCCCCTAGAAAAAGAACTTAAAGTAAGACGAACAGCTGTCATGATCACTCTTGGGAAAACAAAATCAGAAAATTCTTTTTCTTTAGTTTTGTTCTGTCATCCATTTAACAAAGAGGCAGGGTCTAAGGGGAACAGAGGCAAGCATCGCAGCCTCCGAGTAGGATGGTAGGTTGTGGCATTGGCTCCATTGCTGACCTGGCCAAGTGTGTGAGGGTCAGTGGAGTGCCCCTGTTGCAGAGTCCTCAGAGGATTGGCACAGAAGTCTGTCTGTGCCGCCCTGGTCTCACCCGGCTCATCCTCCACCTCAGAGGTGCTCCTATGTCTGGTGTTCCAGGCACCACTGATGTGCCATGGGAAAAGGAGGCCGTCTCTCTTTGATACTCTCACGGGTTGTAGAGACAGCCCTGGTACACGGGTCATCACTAACTTGGTGGTATCTAAGCTGGAGTACAGATCAAGTGACATGGACTGTAGCAGCACTCTTTTTTATCACTTTGAAACAAACACATGGTTCTTTTTTATTTTACTTGTTCGCTGACACATGGTCCTATGTTTGGGATGGAGTGGGCTCTGGTCTTTGGCAAACACATATAATCTAGAAAGAAACAGAGTGATAATAGCCTTATAGAGCCATTTCTTGAGCTTAATTATCTTACAGGAATTTGTTGAGATATCCAAGTGGAATGATGTCAGCTTCTGGTCCATTAAACAATCTGTGGAAAAGACACACAGGTAATTCATCTTTTAAAACTGGTGGGACCAAATCTCAGAATTTTGTATGGTAGGGAGTGAGATTACATAGTTACCATAGCCTGACTTAATACAAATGCCTTCAACTTGTAGTGGAAAAATAAAAAACAACCCACTGGATTATTTTGATGTGGTTTTCCATCGGCACCCCTAATACGCAGAGCAAAGTCTCCCTGCAGGAAGAATTGGTGTGCCTTGAGGCAAAGCAGGCTATATCTCAAGTCTTCTGCCACCTTCTAGCTGTTTACCTTGAGCAGAGCAATCCCACCCTTCCTGGCTTCCATTTTCTTTGCTAGAAAAGGGGATGACAATACCTGCCATACTTTTTGTCTTTAAAAAACAAAATGACTATGACTATCTAAGTAGATAATTGGATACAAAAGGTACAGGTTATTAAGTTATGTGCATATGTATTATAATGTATTTTTTGTATTTCTTCACTTTCTAATCCATTTTTTTCTTCTTATCTCTGTCATTACCTGAGGTCAGGACCCTCTTTAAATTCATGAAGAAATTTGAAGCCGTCCTGAGTGAACCCTGCCAGTCATCCCTGGTGGAGAGTGACGAGGAGGAACAGCTCGACTTTTTGCCCAGGCCTACAGAGACAGCTTTGAGTGAGGCATCTCCCATTCAGAGTCTAAACAAGACACTGAGAGAGACCCTGTTAGCCCAGCCAGCAGCTGAACAGGTACAACTTCTGGGACAGTGCTTGGTAACAGATGTTTTATGTGCAAGGGGTGTCCTGGGTACTAAACAAGGAAGTGCCTTTGAAATCTTGTTCTTTGGACATATATGGCATTTGTTTATCTGCCTGACACCACTACAGAATAAGGCAAAAAATGTTGATACTATTGCTAAAAGTTTAACATTAGTCTGTAGGAAATAACTGTTGTACTCACCTATGAACATTTCATCTACTTATGAGGGAAGATTTGAAGCATTGGTTTAAGAATATGCCATTGAAGCTGTGGTATAAATACTCCCATCATGGCCAATTTCAAGCACCAGCAGTTAAGATTCGGCTTCCAAAATTCCTGAAAACTTTACAGTGGTAGAGATCTTGAGCGAGCAGGTCTATTATGGGATGTGTGTTTCTGCTTCATGTCCTTGGGTATGGGGAGCTCTAAGATTGTGGAGCACACATCAAGAGAATAATTAATTTTGCTTTCTTACTGTACTTCCCACCTGGGATTCATAGAGTTAGTAATGGAAGTCCTCAAGTTATTTTTAATATTTTAGTAGGTCAAAACATATATTAGAAACTGAGCATAGATCAGATGTGTTGGCTCATGACTGTATCCTGGAACTTTGGAAGGCTGAGGTGGGAGGATTGCTTGAGGCCAGGAGTTCAAGACCAGCCGGGGCAACACAGTGAGACCCCCATCTCCTCAAAAAATAAGAAAAACTAGCTGGGCTGGGTGGCTCACACCTGTAGTCCTAGCTACTTTAGAGGCTGAGGTGGGAAGATTGCTTGAGTCCAGGAGCTCATGGCTGCTGTGAGCTGTGATCCTGTCACTGCACTCCAGCCTGGGAGACAGAGCGAGACCCTGTCTCTAAAAGGGGGAAAAAAAAACCTGAGCATGTAGCCATGATATGGCTGCCAAATTTATATTCTTTTGATTGTATTTGTCAGCTCACTGCTTCTGTCATTCTGATAAAAGAGTTTGATTTGCTAATGATGACAGCATAGGAATTTTAGGAATTCTTCAGGCAACAAAATGATTGAAATATGCCCCTGGTAGATAAAAGCTCTTCCCTTTATCTAGTATCTGAATTCCTGATATTTGAACTGTTAATCAGAGATTGGAGGGTAGAGGAGATGGTAATAGAAGAAGGATTTGGTGGACCAGGTTTGCGTTGCATTTGTATCTGAGAGAAACAGTATGGCTCAGCAACTTAAGGGCAGCAGTTATATTAATCATCCGGCTCCATGCATAGATCAGAACTGGAATTTCCTTGTGGCTTGTATAGAAAGCACTGCTGGATATAGAGGTGGGGTGGGGGGGTGTCCTTCTATTACTGTACTGTAAAACAGTACACCTATGTCAATATGAGTGATGCTAATCTGGCTGTCCCTGCTCATGAGACTCACAGAGATGGTGATAATAGTTGCTGCGCTACGGGTATGTGTACGTGTGTGTGCAATAGTTAAATTTTGCCCCCGGGCAGGTTAAAACTATTTCTATCATTCTTCAGAGTAATCTATGCTCTGTCTCACAGGTCATGATTCCAGAACAGTATCAGGGTGCTGCTCCTTTCTCCTTGGAAGGAGAGCTTGTATGTCGCTTGCCGAAGCTCATGAAACGAATGAGGAAGATATGCGTGACATTTATGAAGGAGAGTGCTCTGCCTCACCTAGTGGAGGGCCTCGATCAGTTCACTGGTGGGTGCCAGCGGCCAGGAGCAAGGGTGGGACTTACTCTCTGTTTTCCCCAGTGGCCCAGGAGGCGTGAGGATGTGGTACCTATGTCCCTTTTTTGACATCTTATATAGTGAGCAGTAATCGAATAAGCAAGTAGACTAAAAACCAGCAGAGCCTAGACACAGGAGCCGAGCCAACTGAGAACACACACACTGTCATGATTTTCATCTTGTCATCCTTTCATGTAAACCAGCGATGTTATATGCCATTTTCTAGGAGAGCCCTGTCTATACCAGTTCTTGTTGGTTGGGGATATGGGTAAAGGGGCAAAGAGATGGGTTTTCCAGAGTTTCTAAGCTGTCCCCACCTTTCAAAATGTTGTCTTCCTTGAGTAAAAGGAAAAGGAAGATTCATCCCCAGACCTTGTTTTCTTCACTTCAGCAAGATGTAGAGGTTTCATTTCTCTAGCTGTCCTTGTTCCGGGAACATGAGAGCCAAGATCTGCTCTGTAGTATAACGGACCAATAGCTGCATAAGGGAATCTAGAGCTTAATAGTTAGGGCCCTTGGCAGCTTTTTACCATCTTCCTCCCCATCCACCCCCACCCCTAGTGAGTGTGGGCCTGGCCTGCCTTTAATGAGGCTGCCGTCTGATCTCAGGGAGCTCTTGATTTTTAAAACTTGTCAGGATAATAGCATACTGTCCATTGCTCAAGGTGACTTGTCCTGAGCCTGAGGATGAGGGTGAATGGAATACAGATCCATGTGCATCTCCTGGAAAGGAGACACGCTTCTCACTCTCCGACAGTGTCAGTATAACGTGTGTGGTGCTTCTGTAGTCATGGTGATGGCCTGTATTTGTCTGTTAAGGCTGCCTTAATAAAGTACCAGACTGGTGGCTTAAACAACAGAAATTTATTGTCTCACAATTCCAGAGTCTAAAAGTCCAAGATCAAGGTGTCAGCAAAGTTGGTTTCTTTTCTCCTTGGCTTGCAGATGGCCACCTTCTCTCTGTGTCCTCACATGGTCACATTTCAATCTGTGGGTTCTCTGTAACCTAATCTCTTCTTTAAGGACTTCAGGCATACTAGATTAGGGCCCACTCTCATTTTACCATAATCACCTCTTTCAAGGCCCCGTCTCCAAATATGGTCACATTCTGCGGTACTGGGGGTTGGGACTTTAACATGAGTTGGGGGTGGGAAGCACACACAGTTCAGCCCATGACACTGCCCGTAGCAAGTAGGCAGCACCCTTGTGTTACAGGTACCCAGGTGTATTCAAGAAGGTAGCAAGGTAGCATCCACTCATTAACTGAATGACCTTTTGAAGGTCACTAGACCCCTCTGAGCCTCTCTTTACTAAGAAATAGAAGTACAAATAAGTGCAGATTAAAAGAGCATTTACGAAGTACCAGCTACAGTGTAGGAACCCAATACATACAATGTATTTATCAGAAATTTCTCTCAAGTGATTAAAAATTCCTAATACAATACACTGCACATAGTTGGTGCTCATTAAGTGTTTTTTGCTTGATTGATTATAAACCCCTAAATAAAAAAGAATGACCATTTTATTTTGGTTGATTGTCAAGAGATAAGAAATCCATGTGTTCTTATTTTTCTGTTCCTTGCATCTTGACCAGTTTAGTTCAAACACTTAATGAGAATTTACCAAATGCTAGGGACTATTAAGTACCCAGGATATAAAGATGAATGGTACCTGGTCCTTGTTCCCCTAAAAGTTCCTGGTATTCAGTAATTTAAACACATTACTAAGCCCTTGGGATATTTGTATCTCCATTTCATCCTTGTTTTCCCCTACAGGTGAAGTGATATGCTCTGTGAGTGAGCTGCAGAGTTTAAGGGTAGACCCTTCTGCAGAGAAGGAGAAGCAGCGGTCAGAATCCAAGCACATTCTCATGCAAAAGCAGCGTGCTTTGTCAGACCTCTTTAAACACCTTGCAGAAACTGGTAAGGTTCTTGGTTGAAACCCAATGAAATACAATCACCAACTTTTAGGAAGGAAAACAACATGGGTGATTTTAGGGAAACTCCAGAGACAGCTGAGATGATGGACAGCAGGTGGCAGACAAAGTTTTGAAATGTCATTCTAAGAGTTCCAGTCACCTGCAGGAAAATCTTACGATCAACCATTTATGATTCCTAAATGTTTTCATTTTGGTAATGAAGTTTCTCAGAATGCACATTTTTTCTTTCATCACAGTATGCTATACAACACCCACCCTTACAACGCAGCATAGATAGTAGTGCTTTTCAAACACGAGTCACCTGGGGAATCTTGTTAAAGTGCAGGTGCAGGTCCTGTTTGAGTCAATGTGGGAGAGAGAGTGCATTTCTGACACGATCCTGGTCATGCTGTTCAGAGGACCGACTTTGCTTTGAGTAGTAGTGGCCAGGGGGACACATCCATTCTCACCTGAGTTTCTTTGCCTAAATGAATGCATTTATTTCCTAGGTTTGTCATATCGTAAAGGTCTTGCCTGGGCCCGTTCAAAAAATCCTGAAGAGCTGCTTCATCTTCACCCATTAGATCTCCGGAGCGCATTGTCCATAGTCAGCAGCACACAGGAGGCTGATTCTAGGTTTGTTTTTGTTTTTAATTATAAAGGAGCAGGTCATTTAAGACTCCATATTCTCATTTCCCAAAATGGGCATAGCAATACCTCTCTGGCAGAGTAGGCGTAAAGGTTAGCCTCGGTCAGGCTCTGGCATCTGGTGAACGTTCAAATGTAGGTCTAACTTTTCTTCTTTTTCTATCCTCCTCGTATTCACGTCTCCATTCTTCTTTTTTTCTTCTTTTGCCCTTTGATTTTCCTGAGGTCTGCTCACTTGATTTGAACATACAGGTGGAAATCTGGGAGAGATTGGCTACATTTTTAGCTGCTCCGTATATATGCCCTTTATAAGTTCTAATATATTCTTAAATTTGAGAGCCTATAAACTCATTTTTATTTTTTTTGAGACAGAGTCTCACTGTGTTGCCTGGACTAGAGTGCTGTGGTGTCAGCCTAGCTCACAGCAACCTCAGACTCCCGGGCTCAAGCAATCCTTCTGCCTCAGCCTTCCGAGTAGCTGGGATTACAGGCATGTGCCACCATGCCCGGCTAATTTTTTCTATATATTTTTAGTTGTCCGATTAATTTCTTTCTATTTTTAGTAGAGACAGGGTCTCGCTCTTGCTCAGGCTGGTTTCGAACTGCTGAGCTCAAACAATCCACTCGCCTCGGCCTTCCAGAGTGCTAGGATTATAGGCGTGAGCCACCACGCCCAGCCCAAGAGCCTATATAAACTCTTGAGACAAGCACCACCTGTGTGAAGACCCACAACAGCGGTGCTATAAATGAGATTTACACAAGCTGGATGCACTACACATTTGTGTTTTGTTTGCTCAGTGGCCCTCCTAGGACTTTAAATTTGAATTCAGCACAGCATTGTAACAAGCGGGAGTTTTACATAAGCATTCTGGATTTTCAGTTTTTCAGGAAAGTTTGCCAAGTGGCCTTGCATTCCCATTTGGTCAACAGTTGGCTGTAGCTTAGTACTGGCTCCCTCTTTTCTTTTTTTCAGTTTTCAATTTTATTTTTTACGAGGCTCTCCTTTTGATAGGACACATGCTCTCTCCAGTTTACTTTGGTCCTCGACAACACTGTGGCTCCCCCACATTGAGGTCAGGTGTCACTGCCATGTGTCATTTTGTGCTTGGCTGCCCTTAATCATTTATGTTACCTGCCTGGCCCCTGAAAGCATCAGAATTTATGACCCCTAGCCTCCACTGCCAAGATAGTTAAGTTATAAAGATTTCATTGAGGAAGCCATACTGTCATAATTTATTTTTCCATGAGACTTCCAGTGCCGCGTATACAGTACACCCCTTGTATGAAGGACTAATGAGTGCCTGACTGAATGCATCTTCATAGAAATAAGTCTGTTCAGGCTGTGGGCTTTTGGTCGTGGCCAGATACACCAATCTGAGTCTTGAGGATGTGGGGTGGGAGATTGCGGTTTTAATTAAGTAAATCATGTTGACATCTTTTCCAGGCTGCTTACAGAAATCTCATCTTCGTGGGATGGGTGCCAGAAGTATTTTTATCGCTCCCTTGCACGGCATGCCAGGCTTAACGCAGCCCTAGCAACTCCTGCCAAGGTACAATGACAGACTATGGGAATTGCAGGGGCCCGGGGAAAGATCCTATTTTATTCATCCCAGGGCAGTGTTCTCAGACCTTTTGAAGTGATAATAACTCATTAGTGAAAGTGACTGAGCTTTTTGAAGAGCATCCGTAAACTTAAAATATAAATCAGTATAATTTTGTGCTAAATCAGAGTGCATCTTATTTTATTTTTGTGTGTATATATACACACACACAAACACACATGCGCACACATACACAGATACACACCACAATTTTTTTTTTTTTTGGAGACAGGATCTCTGTTGCCTGGGATACAGTGTAGTGGCGTCATCCCTATAGCTCACTGCAAACTCAAACTCCCTGGCTCAGGCGATTTTCCCACCTCAGCCTTCCAAGTAGCTGGGGCTATAGGCATGCACCACCGTGCCCGGCCAATTATTTTACTTTTTTTTTTTTTTTTTTTTTTTTTTTTGAGACAGGGTCTCACTGTGTTGCCCGGGCTAGAGTGCCGTGGCGTCATCCTAGCTCACAGCAACCTCAAATTCCTGGGCTCAAGCGATCCTCCTGCCTCAGCCTCCCGAGTAGCTGGGACTACAGGCATGCGCCACCATGCCCGGCTAATTTTTTCTATATATTTTTAGTTGTCCAGATAATTTCTTTCTAATTTTTTTAGAAAGACGGGGTCTTGCTCTTGCTCAGGCTGGTCTCTAACTCCTGAGCTCAAACAATCCGCCCGCCTCGGCCTCCCAGAGAGCTAGGATTACAGGCGTGAGCCACCGCGCCCAGCCTATTTTACTTTTTATAGAGATGTGGTCTTGCTGTTGCCCAGGCTGGTCTTGAACTCTTGGCCTCAAGCAATCCTCCTGCTTTGGACTCCCAAAGTGCTAGGATTATAGATAGTCGTGAGCCACAATGCCCAACCTATAATAAATTTTATTACACACACTTGCCAGGAGGACCGGTTATATAAGACATTACAGAAGAAGAACTTCAAATTGAGAATGCCATCTTCAGATCTTTTTTCCCCCTTGTGAATTGAGAAAAAACCATTAATATTCATTTCTGATATTAAATATAGTTCCTATCAGTGCCATATTGATCTGTGGAAGCATAATTTGAGAACCATTGCTCCAAAAGATGAACATGTTGCCTCTAGAATGCAGCATATCTGAAGCTTATATAAGCAAGGGACTCTTCCCCAGAAAAGAGTTTCTGTTTCTTCCATGCAATGGCTCTTTAGTAGAGCCCTTGTGAATGGTGTTTGCCAGCAGCACTTAACCATGTTTTTCCTTCTCCCTCTGCTAGGAGATGGGCATGGGCAACATTGAGCGGTGTAAAGGGTTCTCAGCACATTTGATGAAGATGCTCACCCGACAGCGGCGCTCCCTGACCATGCTGACTGAGCAGTGGATCATCCTCAGGTATCAGCTCACTAGTTGGGTTTGTAGCATAAATTAGGAAGAATTGTGTAAGTTAGCTCAGAGGTGCTTGCGCATGGGGAGAGGAGAGGAATGTGACCTACTCTCAATTGTGAATATGAATTTGAGGCCAGTAGAGCAGGGATCCTTCCTTCTTGGTTATGTGAAAAAGGCCATACTTGTTGAGAAACATGCAAACGAATTTATTGTTAAAAACAACATGGTGACGTAGTTTAAGATGCCATTGTTTTTCCCTGCACATTTCTCTGCACAGGAACCTCCTCAGCTGTGTGCAGGAGATTCACAGCAGGCTGACAGGGCCCCAGGCCTACCCCGTGGCCTTCCCCCCTCAGGATGGCGTGCAGCAGTGGACAGAGCGGCTGCAGCACCTGGCCATGCAGAGCCAGATCCTGCTTGAGCAGCTCTCCTGGCTCCTACAGTGCTGCCCTGGTGTGGAGAGAGCTCCAGGCGACACTGGTGCCCAGGCACAGGTTCAGCCTTCTCCTCTCCACCTGGAAGAACAAGAACTCAACAAGGAACAGCCTCCCGGAGCAGTGCCGGACCTAATTCCCTCCTATCTGAGCTACCCATCTCCAGTACCTAGAAGTCAGCTGCCATCTGGTTGCCGAATGCGGAAACAGGACCAGCTTTGGCAACAGTCAACTATGAGATTAACAGAGATTCTGAAAAACATTAAAATGGTGAAAGCAGACATTGACAAAATTAGGCAGCAGTCTTGTGAGACTCTCTTTCATTCTTGGTAAGTGTATCTATGTCTTTCCTTTTCCTCTGTGTGCTCGGGTCCTTATCAGAGTTTAAATGGGATAAAATTACGAAAAGAATTGTTTCAGTCCTCTGTTACTCAGTGGACCCCTATAGCGGTTTGTGGCATATGTGTAGCTGTAAACCTTCAGATACAGTGAGTTTTGCCTCGCATACATTTTAATGGTTGTGTGTGTGTTTTAGCCCCTTCCTTTCAGCATTGTGGTATTTCTGTTGCAGGAAAGATTTTGAAGTTTGTTCCTCTGCGCTGAGTTGCCTGTCCCAGGTGTCAGTTCATTTGCAAGGCCTAGAGTCCTTGTTCATGCTTCCCAGGATGGAGGTTGAGGAAAGAGACCCACAAATAGCATTAGTTGAAAGCTTGGAATATGTAAGAGGAGAAATCGATAAAGCCATTAGTGACTTTACTGCCTGGAAGACACATCTGTTTACTTCAGACAGCCAAGGAGGTAAGGAGTGTAGTTCAGTAAGAGAGTAAAAGCCCAGTATAGAAATGACGTCTTGCCGGATGTGGTGGCTCACGCCTGTAATCCTAGCACTCTGGGAGGCCGAGGCGGGCAGATTGTTTGAGCTCAGGAGTTTGAGACCAGCCTGAGCAAGAGTGA